GGGTAAAATAATATGGAGGATAGGCTGTTACCCAAGCAGCAAATCCCCCCTCTCCACATCGCTGAAATAGTCCAATGGAAAGGCAAGAGCCAATACAACTGGTTCCAGCAACGTTGCAGGAGTTGGCATAAGAACACGAACTGCCTCCGGTACTCCGGCTCTGGATTTTGCCTCAAGGTTGACTCCTGAAGCCTTTTCCATCAGTGGATATAGCCACAAGGCAGTGGAGGTTTGAAATCAGACTTTTCCTTCTCCTAGATGGGCTGCCTTCCAAGACTGATGAGCCCCTCCTACCCCTGGCAGCAAAAGAATAAAAGAAGTAACAGAGTGCTGTCCTCTGAAGATGGCGGCCACAGAGACTGGCGAAACGTCAGGAAGAACAACCTTCATAACACTGCCAAGAAGCCCAAAAAACCCACAACAAACATTAGATCCCAGCCGTGAAAGCCTTCACGAATACAAAACGAAGTAACTGATGAATTGCTGCTTTTCCACAACACTACAGTTCTTTTGAATGGCATGAAACCTGCCTTGCTTTCCATAATGATAGGAATAATCTTGGATGAAAGTAATTGAGAAAATATGGGTAAGAATGAGAGATATGAGAACTCTGAAACTAAAACGGCTATATCCCAAACACTTCTTGCAGAATAGTCAACGGTTACTCGGATTAGGGCCATTAAAAAATTAATAAATAGATTATCAAGGAAAATAGGACTACAAGGAAAATGTAGCAGGACTACAAGGAAAATAGCTTTCTTGGTTATAACCCCCTTATTATGGAAGGTTCTCCCAACACTGCTGTTGCTCTGGTACCAACTCAAAACCTTTATGCTTGCTAAGGCATTTCAGCTAATAGATTTAGTCAGTTCTGTTGTGGAGTTGTTGGGTGGGCTTTTTAAAAGTTGTTTTTATGGTGTATTTACAATTTTTAAACTCATTTTAATTATATTTTATTGTTTTAGGTGTTTTTATTGTATACCATTGGAGTATCTGTAAGGATAAAAGGAGCTATTAAAATGTTTTTAAAAATAACACTAGAATATAACACCCTGGGAAGCAGAGCCCGGCCAAGAGAGGTGCCAGTTTACACAAACAGCACTTAAATGTGATGATAGCCTATCTGAGGCTGTCCTCTGAGTATTAAACACAAGGTGACTCCGCTGTAATGAAAAAAAGGACACACGGCAGTAAGCGATAAAGGACTCTGAAGTTCATTGTCTGAATCTTACCTACAAAACCTTTGTTTGGATAAGACAGCTTCCCAGAGATCTAATTCTTGATTGAGTCAGTATCCAACTTTTGCAAAATTTCTTCCAAATTCTTATGTGGTATAGAAATATTATAAATGGATCCGGGGCTGTAGGCTTTAAAGTCTCCATTCAGGCAATTTGAAAAGGTGTTGGAGACACACTGTGAGTTTTGTGCTGGTTTCCTGTTTTTATAGGAATAGTGCTGAACATTCCCCAATAGTGATAAGCTAGCAGAAGTTTGGGAGGACCCCAGACAAATCTACATACAACCAGTTGCTGTAGTATGAGCCTTAAAGAGGGAGTATGTTATCTCTTTTTGTCATTCATAAGCACAAGCAGATCATTCTCTATATTCAGAATTCTGACACTAAAGGACTTCAGTACTTTTTCCCTGTTGTGCCTTCCTTCCTTAGGCTATTATTGTGAGGATGAAAATACAAGAAACTGTAAACTATGCAAATATTATTTTTTGGCCTTTGGGAGCTGAGGACAAGGGAGTCCCTTACCAGTGCACAAGATATACACCCCTCTCCTATCTAGTAGTGAGATGATGAAATGTATTTTGAAGCTATTAAGATACAAGTATCTATAAACTGAGTCCCTTAGAGGAGCAAGAAACAGCAAACACAGCGCAAGTCCAGGAAGCAGCTGACAGTGAACTGAGCCCTCCTCCATAGATGTTTCAGACACAGAGACATAAACATGATTCTAGACTTGCACAAGTGCAGTCTAGCCAAAGGTATCAAGGTAAACCCATGTGAAGGAGGCAACATACCCAGCTGTCTAAACTGTTTTACTGAAAAAGGTGTCGGACCTTCGTGTCATCCTCTCACTGAACAGAAACGACATAAATTGGACTCTAGAGCTGAACACACAATAGTGAGTTGCTGAATTATTGTGGGAAATCACAGTTCAGTAGTAACTTGAGCAAAATATCTGGAAAAATTCTGAACATCTTGGAAACAGTCCCTTTCAAGCTTTCGTTTACCATAATTTGTTTTAAAACATGAAACAATTAAAAGAGAACATTGCCTCACATCAGCATATGTGCCATTATAGATACTGTATATGTTTTTAAGACTTCCCATTCTGTAATATGCAGACAAGGCAGTGTCAGTCCTAGCTGTTGGCATCCAAGCAACACTATGCTATTGAAGAAGTTGAGAAATCCTTTCGCTTTGAAACCTACAACAAGCGTCAGTGATGATAAAACAGAAGAACCAAGCCTTTGTTGGCACTTCCTGGTAGCAAAAGCAGGTGGAAAAAATCAGCTAGGTGGAAACTTTCTGCATTACTGATCAAGTTGCAGTGCCAGGTCTAGATAAAAGCTTTGGAAACATTTGGAATCTGTGCGGGAGAAGCAATATTACTACATACTACATTACCACTCTTTCTCTTGGCCTCCTAAGAATGTAACCATAACAACCACATTTATCAGTTGCGCCTAATTTCTTCTTGGATCATTATTGATTTCATTTTATTTCTGTGCTGCCTTTCTCCTCATAGGGGACTCAAGGCAGCACACAATAATTAAAATCATACAATATTAACAGTTTAAAATGCCATAAAACTAAATATTAAAAAGAAATTAAACATTAGTCAGGATTAAAAAAACATTTTGAAGACATTTTCAAAAACATTTTAAAAATGTCTCCATTTCAAAAATCGAGCTTTCCCTAGACACTTAAAAAAGCCTGGCTGAAAAGGAAGATTTTTGCCTGTTGATGGAAGAACAAGAGGGAGGGGGCCAACCTGCCTTCTTGGGGTGGCACATTCAAAAGCCTGGGGGCAACCACTCAGAAAGCCCTCTTGTGTGTTCTCACAAAACAAGTTTGGGAAGGCAGTGGAACTAAGAGAAGGGCCTCTCCAGAAGAAGTAGGCTCATTTGGGGTAATGCGATCCTTCAAATATCCTGGAGCCAAGCCATATAAAGCTGTCATTATAGGGAATAACCATCACTTTGAATTGAGTCCAGAAACAGACCGGTAGTCACTGAAGCTGTTGTAACAAGGGAGTTACATGCTCCCTGTAACCTGTGCCAGCCAGCAGTCTGTCTGCAGCATTATGAACCAGATGAAATTTCCGAACATTCCTCAAAGGCAGTCCCGTGTGGAGCGCACTGCCATAATCGAGACAAGATATAAAAAAGACATGTATGTGCCACTGTGGCCAGATCAGACATTATCTACTGAGGGGGCTCTGCACTCAAAAGCTTAATCCTTCACTGGCTCTTTCTGCTGCAGATTGTCCTGACTCTTTCAGTTCCTCACGTCTTGCGCATTTTCCAGTTTGTTTCTGCCTGTTTCGGGCATCTGCTCAGCTTCAGTATCTATTAGAGGTTATGATTTCTTCAGAACTACAGTTTTCCCAGGAACTTGTGGTCATAATTCTTACTCATTCCATAGCAGAAGCAGATCACTCTGAGACATAATTGATAGCCAAGGCACTGGGTTGTTCCAAATTAATTTCCTCATACAGTTTGTTTTTCCTAAAAATCGAGGCAGATAATTTGTTGCACTACTTCTGAAATGATGAAAAGAAATCACTGGCTGAACATGGATTTTAATTTTTGAAAGGTAGTTATGTAAAACTTGTGTGTAACTCTGGAGAACAAGATAATGCTAACTTTGTGTTGAGTGCTCACTGGTCATGAGGTGGAATACAAAACGTGTACACTTTAACAGCCATTTCTGTGTTCCTTCAGCAGCATGAAAACTCCTATAGTCTTGACTCCTCTTGATTATGTTCCAGATGAGACAGTGAAGAGGATCATCAGTGTTGTTTCTGATTGCAGCACTATCCTTCCCGGAAGCAGTGTGGACACTGACACAAACCAGAGGGCTTTGGAAAATCACCCCATATCATAATGTACAACTGGCTGCTCCCATGCTGCTGAAATAATCTAGGAATGGGCTACTGGACATAAAGGACTCAAGCTTTAATAAGCAATGGTCATATCTTTGCACGGAACTATAGTCAATCCCTTTCCCCACTGTCTGCTAACATGCCTTTCCCTGATACTGAGAAGCAACTTGTAGCAACTTTCCTTTTTTTTTTTTTAAAAAAAAAGTCCAGATTAAACGGGGTAGTCTAGATCAGTTTTTAATCAATGGATTTGGTAGTATTTGATACTGATTCATCACTTTTCCTGATGCACAAGACATAGGATACATAACATGAGTTAATAAGAAATGAAATGGCTGCCAAAAGTTACACGATTCAAAGCCAGAGGTCCACAGACAAGTGTACAGTCATGTGATGGTCTTTTCCCTCCATGCCAATCACTTTCAGATTCAGGGGACTCGTGTTTCATTCTGTATGAAATCATTGTGTCAGATCTCTGGAGATTTATAATTCACACCTAAGAGGATTTGTGCAGAAGGAGATCATTTATGGTCATCTGTAAGAGTTTCTGAGTCTGCCTTTGAGAAATGTCTCTATTGGGCAGAATGTTTTGGAAGTCAAAAGGATCAACTTATTTTCCTGTGCTTTCTGAGAGAGTCAGCTTGAAAGTGGTCCAGGGTAAACCCTGGCTGGATTGATCCAAACTGTAGTTAGGCAATCCCTAACTACAATCCCTAACAACACCACTGTTCTCCACAAGTCAGTGCTTGGCCCTTAAACTTAGTTGTGAGTGCCAGTATAACATGATTCAAGAATTTCAACAGTGGCTGCCCAGTTTCTGTCCCCTTTCTACTATCAGAACAATCTCAACAACTGATTCATCAACAGAAAGAGAAATCTTACCTTTCTTTGCCATCCTGGATAAGAGAGTTCCTCTTACCATTCATTGTATGCAGCTCTAGAGCTTTATCTTCCAGCATGTTCATTGCCTGATCACAGTTTCTGTGTCTCATTTCATGGGTCGGGGGAGTCTCTCGGATGTCAGGCCCTACCCTCCGACACCTGAGCAACCGCTGGTAAGCTGTCCGGAAGTCCCTGTTTAGTGCAGCATATAAGATAGGGTTCAAGGCCGAATTGGCATACCCAAGCCACATGACAATGGTCAGCAGTGTTTCGGACACTGTACCCCTCAGGCCTTGGTACATGAAGACTGTAAAATAAGGAAACCAGCAGATAATGAAGGCTCCCATTACAGCTGCAAGAGTCACTGTAGCTTTGTGTTCCTTCACAGTGGGCAACACACTTCTGACTGCCCTGAAGCTGGTAGTGTTGTTGATTCTCTTAGCTTGCTCCCTGGCTATTTTGAATATACGGAAATAGGTGATGCACATGATAACCAAAGGGAGGTAGAAAGTAAGCAGCCCATCCACCAGAACATACAGCTTATTGACCCCCAGCTTGCATTCTTGCTTCCCATTGGTCAAGAGCGTGTTCTGTATAGTTCCATTGGTGTTCAAAGCCAAATGAATGGGTAGGAATGAAACCATGAGTGACACCACCCAGATAAGGACCATAGCCACAGCCACCCGCAGAGGAGTGACTACGGTAGGGTAGCGAAGAGGTGCTGTTATGGCATAATAGCGGTCCAGGCTAATCATGAAGAGATTGAGGATGGAAGCTGTGCACAGCATGACATCCAAGCTAATGTAAATGTTGCACAAAGTAATGCTCCAGGACCATATATGGGAGGAGATTTCATAGGTGGCTGAAAATGGTACCACCAGCAGGCCTAGTAGAAGGTCTGTGAAAGCCAGGGAAACAATGAAGCAGTTAGTTAGACTACGGAGCCGGCGGTTGAAGCATACAGCCAGGCACACCATCACATTTCCACAGACAGTCACCACGATGAGGACTGTGAGAACTAACCCAATCAGAGCTTTTTGCCAACGGGAAAGAGTGCCATCTGTCACATTTGTGGAATTCATGCTGCTGTGGCTGCCAGGTATCACTTTTCCTCTGTGCAGACTCACATAGCAGCTGCCCCACCAACACTTAAAAAGATTCCAATTCTCTGAAGGACTTGCCCAGCCACCTTCTTTCAGCAGTCCTAGGATGGGCGGCTGTATCATGGCAACCAGGAGACTGTCCCCCAAACATCTTAGCTCTGAAAATAAGCTAGGAATCAGATGCTGTTCTGGATTATGTATCTATATAAAGATTGGGCACGTCAGAACAAATCTGGTCTTATTCATTCTTTCCTGGAAGCATCCTCAGACAACTTGCCTGATGGCGAAAAATCAGATGTCTCGCTTAACAACGCTCTTCTCATAAGTGTTTGAGAAATTTTTGGAACGTCCATGGAACCTGCGTGCTAAACATCAGTGATAAATCTGAAGATGATGAGGAACAGAGATTGCCTCCATGTCCTGTTTTGTAGACTCCTTGTAGATAATCTGATTTGTTGCAAAGTAGTTGACTAGCTTGCTGTTTAGTCTGATCTGGCAAGGTTCTTCCTGTGTTCTACCAGCTCCTTTTGACTTGGCTTCAGCCTCTTTACTTTCTTCACTCTTCTCTTTTTTCTTTCGGAAAAATAATTAGGACATATTAATAGCCATGTGTTGATTTCATAGGTCAGGCCCAGCAAGAGTCAAACGAGTCTTAGGTGTCGCATCGATCTCAGAGAATGGCTTCACTTCCACCTCCTGAAGTCAGAATAGTTCGATCAGCAACAGGCTGGATGAAAACTTAATCCTGGTAAGAATATGAAAAGAAGAATTAGAGTTAGAAGGTGTATATAGATAGGTTCCATATACCTGAGCAGACACAGACAATGTGTTCCTTAAGACAAGTAGCAGGAGGGCTGAAAAAGCTGAGACCCGGATCCTTATCATCACTGGCTTCCTGACCCATTTAACTCAAAATAAATTTAACTCATAAATAAATACCGCCCAGAGTAGACTATGTCTAGATGGGAAGTAGCAGGAGGGCTGAAAAAGCTGAGACCCGGATCCTTATCATCACTGGCTTCCTGACCCATTTAACTCAAAATACTGGGGACTCCACACAGAGCAATGCAAATGCTCTTTTACTCACTTGTGGCTGCTTCCCCTATATTCTCAGTGCAGAATTTTCCTTTGTGGACATGCAGGTAACCCTTTCACACCAAAGACTTCTCATTCAGTTATTAACACAGGCAGTTTCTAGCTTCAGGGACTGTCGTATAACTCTAGGCACCAATAGCAACTGTATACATAACTATGCCCTGCTTGTCCTGTGTTAATGGATATGTTTCAGTTTTTGCAGCCTGAGGATGTGGACAATACCCTACGAGAGGTGAAGGCTACCATATGTCTGCTGTACCCTTGCCCTTCCTGGTTTATAAAATCTGCCAGAGGGGGACTGGATGACTGGGTAGGAGGAGTGGTGATGCTTAAAAGAGGCACCATTGCTGCGGAGGGGGACTGGATGACTGGGTAGGAGGAGTGGTGATGCTTAAAAGAGGCACCATTGCTGAAAAAGACCTCCTGGACTCCCATGGCATTAGATAATTATCAGCCAATCTGTAATGCTCCATTCCTGGGCAAGACATTGGAGCATGTGGTGGCTTCACAGCTCCAGGGGGATCCTGGATGAAAGGATCCATTTCAATCTGGCTGCAGGCCTGGTAATGGGACAGAGATTGCTTCGGTCATCAGGGGGATACTGGATGAAAGGATCCATTTCAGTCTGGCTTCAGGCCTGGTAATGGGACAGAGATTGCTTCGGTCACCTTGGTGGATTATCTACATTAGGAACTGGATGAGGGAGCCTGTCCTTATCGGTTGTGCTAGAGCTCTCAAGGGCTTTTGTTACCATTGATCATGGTATCCTTCTAGGCTGTATCTCTGGGATGGGACTTGGAGACCTTACCTACTTTTACAAGCCTGCCCAGGTTTTAAGATAATCAGAGGAGGCCTTTCATTCTGTCCCATCACCTTCACAGGTGCATTTGATTGTTGCACAGGAGAGCACCTTTTCTGGTGCTGCTCTGAGATTCTGAAACTCCTATAGGAAGTCAGGATGACCCCATCTTTGCTGTCCTTTTACAAGCCTTTCTCTTCCGGCAAACTTTACCTGAGTGACTGGCTGTCCAGGAGGGTGCACAGGAGAATACCTTTTCTGGTGTTGTTCTGAGACACTGGAACTCCTATAGGAAGTCAGGATGCCCCCATCTTTGCTGTCCTTCTGCAAGCTCTTTCTCTTCCGGCAAGCTTTACCTGAGTGACTGGCTGTCCAGGAGGGGTTTCTAAATGAGGCTGCTGCCTTTTTAAAAATTGTTGTTATTATTAATATGTTTCATTCCTGTTGATATCTAACAGTTTTATTATATTTGTTTAATTTTAAAAATATTGTAATAATTTATTGTTATAGCTTTTAATATTGTCTCTTCTATTACTGTAAGCTACTGTGGATCCTTTTTGGGAGAAAGACAGCATATAAAAACTTAAAATAAATTAATAAAAAGCAGGAGTTTGGGGCTTGATAAATCTAAAGCTGAGATCAAATGAATGATGGTCTTCATGGCTGCCCAATATTCTTTCCTTAAGATAAGGATAAAAAGGGAGAATAACAATAGTCAGTCTAAGAAATGGTGCTTCTACGTGCAGCAAAGATAGTATAAAGCATAGTGTTCACTCAGATGACCCTGACACAAAGATATAATCTTAGAACTGCAGGTCTGGAAGGGATCTTATGGATCATCAAGTCCAGCCCCCCGTCAAGGAGGCATAGAGGGGAATCAAACTCCCAACCTCTGGCTCTGTAGCCAGATGCCAAAGTATCCAGTAGCTATATGACAATTATATGAGAATTACTTTTAATAGCATTGTTTTTTTAATGCTCTCCATTAGTATATATTAAAACAGAACCTGCAAATTGCATTTCTGGGTAACCTCCAGCATTTCCATTGCTTGCTGGTAGATTTGTGGGGTTGTGGCTCAAAAAGTAACCTTTCTAAGCCCCACACACACAGCACACATACAACTCAAGATATAATTTAGGAAACAAAGAGAAAAGAAATGCTAGTGGTTCAGATTGCTTTTGTGAAAACCAGCCAGAATATCAGTTCAGAGGAGATCTATCTGTAAGTGGTGCAAATTGACAGTGCAGGCATGATTGTGTGAAAAGTGGAGCGATTAAAAACAGAGCCTGTGTCATCTAGAAGAAAACAGGCAGAAGATAAAATCACATTACATTATCACCACCATAGCTATAAACCATCAGTTGGGACAATGAGAAAATTTGCATACTATTCAGCTGTTTTTTCTCTCATTTTTTCTATGTGCATGTACGTGTAGAGAAGCAGTAAAAATCACACCTAAATAGAATTTCATTCCTCATGAGAAGAACAGTGGATGTATAGGTCATCAAACTGAAAACTGACATGTACCCCAGGTTTTGTTTTGGGGAAGCCCTGCTCTTAGTCTTACCTCCTGAATTTTGACAAGGCTCCGAAACCTGAATGCTTCTTTTGGAACACGTGATATCATTCCTTGATATATTCATCTCCTTGACCTTGACTACAAGGCTGAGTTTTTTTAAAAAAACCCCTTGGATTGTTGGTGCCTTTGACAGCACGTTTTGGGTCACCTGCCATTTTTGTGTGTGCAAGTGCTCATTTTGTACACCTGACTTCTCCCTACTTCCTCAATCTGTAGGAATTTGCTTTAGAGCCCTGTTCATGCACCCTTCTCCTGGGAGGAAGCACATATTTTCATATCCCAAAGAAGAAACACCCCTCTCCCAAGGCACCTCCTCTTTAGGTAGGTAAAAATTGATCACAGTGAGTATATTGTGATACACTTATTCCTGTTTTAATTACAAGTTCACATACAGTGGGTTTGTCTATGCAGGCTCATGTGGGGTGAATTAGTGTGGGTTAAATAAGGTTGCTTAATAACAACCACCACCACCACCACCACCACCTTTGGACTGCAGAGCTGGAAGGGATTCTGTCGGTCATTGAGACCAGCTCCTTCTCAAGGAGGTACAGTGGGGAATTGAACTTCCAACCTCTGGCTCCATAGAGACCTAAGCCACTGAGCTATTAAGATTGGGTAGAAGTCTGGTATGCTACTGACTGTGATCCTTGCATCAAAATGGCATATGCATCTCAAGAGATCGTATTTGATCTAACTCCTTCTGCTGTCAGTTTCCCATACTGTATTGTGAAATGGCTTACGAAGACAGAGACCTTTGGGTAGTGTGGGTGGCGTTGTTGTTTAGTCATTTAGCCGTGTCCGACTCTTCGTGACCCCATGGACCAGAGCATGCCAGGCATATAAGTTAAATAAATAAATAAATTTCACAATATTGGCAAATTAAATACGTCTTCTTCCTATTTCTCTGCCTAGTATGGCTGGCAGGAGATTCAGCTTTGATCTGACCCTTTAGAAAAGTCACAAAGAAAAGAATTACCCCTCTCATTGCCCCTTCCTGTCTTCTTCCACTTCTGTGAGTTAAAGGTAAAGGTTCCCCTTGACAATTTTTGTCCAGTTGTGTTCGACTCTAGGGGGCAGTGATCATCCCCGTTTCCAAGCCACAGAGCCAGCATTTTGTCCGAAGACAATCTTCCGTGGTCACATGGCCAGCGCGGCTATACACGGAATGCTGTTTACCTTCCCACCGAGGTGGTCCCTATTGATCTACTTGCATTTGCATGCTTTCGAACCGCTAGGTTGGCAGGAGCTGGGACAAAATTTTTACATAGTTTCTCTGCTACACTATGGAGCAGAGGAAATGTTTAATTTGCCAATATCATGAGTGGCTGTCTTCTTAAGTCATTTAATGATATGGGAAATTGACAGTGGAAGGCAATTAGATAGCAATAAGCTTGCTTTGGTTTGTTTCCAATGATTGCATGATTGCATGTTCTGGAATAGAACCAAAATGGAATGATCATACCTGCACCAAAAAATTAGTAGCTCTTGACATGCACCCAGAAAGGTGTGAGCAGGAACACTCTAGGGATGAGCTGGTTTGCTCCAGCAAATATATGTGATTGGTGGGGAAAGGAGTAAGCCAGTCCATTGCTACAGCATATCAAACAACAGGTCAAATGTCCATCTGATCACAGTTAAGCAAAATGGTATGCCTACCTGCCTGTTATTTATTTATTTATTTACTTACTTACTTACTTACTTACTTACTTACTTACTTACTTACTTGCTTGCTTGCTTGCTTGCTTGCTTGCTTACTTGCTTACTTACTTATTTGCTTGCTTGCTTGCTTGCTTGCTTGCTTACTTGCTTACTTACTTATTTGCTTGCTTGCTTGCTTGCTTGCTTGCTTACTTGCTTACTTACTTATTTGCTTGCTTGCTTGCTTGCTTGCTTGCTTGCTTGCTTATAATATTTCTCCTTAAGAAGACCCATTATATGACTCTTGTTACCCAGTTAGTTATAGTGGCAGAGGAAAGTTTGCTGTTAGAAATATACTGAATGTACGTACAGCCAAGTCATAATCCATATCTAAAATGGAAAACTCCAAATAATCAATTACAATTAACAGTGATACAGATAGAAGAGAAGAAGCACTCCAAAATACTGATAATCCTACACTGCATTAACAAAACAATTGGCTGGCTAGACAGAATCCAGGGAGAGAGAAGACAAAAACTCAGGTGAGTGGGAATCGTGTAGCTCTGTGAAACTAGAGGGATATAGAAAGGGTTGTGAGATAGCAATGATGTACAAAGGGTCTGGGGAGAAAGA